GAGGAGGAGGAGGAGGAGGGGGGGAGGGGGCGGGAGGAGGAAGAGGAGGAGGAGGAGGAGGAGGAAGAGGAGACGTATTCGTCTGCAAGGGAAAGGAGAGCGGTCATTAATTAGGGATCATCGGTCATTAATTAGAGCTCACTGGTAATTAATTAAGAGCTCATTTGCATCCCGATTACAGCAACTTCCCCTTTTCCCCCTTTTCCCTCTTCCCAGGGAATTCCGCCCTCGGGATCCCAAAGATCCGGAGCCGGGACCCGGAGAGAGCCTCGGCTGACCCTGGGCTGACCTTTAATTGATCCTTAATTGACCTTTAATTTGCCCTTGATCGACCTTTAATTGATCTTTAGTTGACCTCTGTTTGACCCTTGATTGACCCTTAATTGACCTTTAATTGACCCTTGATTGACTTTTAATTGACCCTTGATTGACCTGTAATTGACCCTTGATTGACTTTTAATTGACCCTTGATTGATCTTTAATTGACCCTTGATTGACTTTTAATTGACTCTGGACTGATCTTTAATTGACCCTTGATGGACCCTTAATTAACCCTTGACTGACCCTTAATTGATCTTTAATTGACCCTTGATTGATTTTTAATTAACCCTTGATTGACTTTTAATTAACCCGGGACTGACCCTCAATAAACCTGAGCTTGGATTTTTGGGCAGGCCGGGAATTTCATCCCAAATCCCGGGAATTTCATCCCAAACCCCGGGAATTTCATCCCAAACCCCGGGAATCTCATCCCAAACCCCGGGAATTCCATCCCAAACCCCGGGAATTCCATCCCAAATCCCGGGAATTCCATCCCAAACCCTGGAAATCCCATCCCAAACCCCGGGAATTCCATCCCAAACCCCGGGAATCCCATCCCAAACCCCGGGAATTCCATCCCAAACCCCGGGAATTCCATCCCAAACCCCGGGAATTCCATCCCAAACCCCGGGAATCCCATCCCAAACCCCGGGAATCCCATCCCAAACCCCGGGAATTCCATCCCAAACCCCGGGAATTCCATCCCAAACCCCAGGAATTCCATCCCAAACCCCGGGAATTCCATCCCAAACCCCGGGAATTTCATCCCAAACCCCGGGAATGCCGCAATTCCCAGATTCCAATTCCCGCAATTCCCGGATTCCCCCCATTCCCAGCATTCCCAGCCCTCCCGCAATTCCCACAATTCCCGCAATTCCCGGATTCCCCCCGTTCCCAGAATCCCCCCATTCCCAGCCCTCCTGCAATTCCCGGAATTCCTCATTCCCAGCACTCCCGCATTTGCCAATTCCCACAATTCCCGGTTCCTGGAATCCCCCCGTTCCCAGCCCTCCCGCAATTCCCGGATTCCCCCCATTCCCGGCATTCCCAGTTCCCGCAATTCCTGGTTCCCACAATTCCCACAATTCCTGCAATTCCCGGATGGATTCCCCCCATTCCCAGCCCTTCCGCAATTCCCGGATTCCCCCATTCCCGCAATTCCCGGCTGCATTCCCCCCGTTCCCAGCCCCCCCCGGCATTCCCGGTATTCCCGTTTTCCCCCCATCCCCAGCCCCCGTTCCCATCATTCCTGCCATTCCCGCCATTCCCGTTATTCTCCCGCCGTTCCCACCGGCTCGTTCCCGGCATTCCCGCCATTCCCGTTATTCCCATTTTCCCCCTGTTCCCAGCCCCCAGATTACCGCCATTCCCGCCATTCCCGTTATTCCTGCTCCGTTCCCACTGGGCTGTTCCCAGGATTCCCGTTATTCCCGTTCTCCCGTCATTCCCAGCCCCATTCCTGCCATTCCCGTTATTCCCGTTATTCCCGCCATTCCCGCCATTCCCGTTATTCCTGCTCCGTTCCCACTGGGCTGTTCCCAGGATTCCCGTTATTCCCGTTCTCCCGTCATTCCCAGCCCCATTCCTGCCATTCCCGTTATTCCCGTTATTCCCGCCATTCCCGCCATTCCCGTTATTCCTGCTCCGTTCCCACTGGGCTGTTCCCAGGATTCCCGTTATTCCCGTTCTCCCGTCATTCCCAGCCCCATTCCTGCCATTCCCGTTATTCCCGTTATTCCCGCCATTCCCGCCATTCCCGTTATTCCTGCTCCGTTCCCACTGGGCTGTTCCCAGGATTCCCGTTATTCCCGTTCTCCCGTCATTCCCAGCCCCATTCCTGCCATTCCCGTTATTCCCGTTATTCCCGCCATTCCCGCCATTCCCGTTATTCCTGCTCCGTTCCCACTGGGCTGTTCCCAGGATTCCCGTTATTCCCGTTCTCCCGTCATTCCCAGCCCCATTCCTGCCATTCCCGTTATTCCCGTTATTCCCGCCATTCCCGCCATTCCCGTTATTCCTGCTCCGTTCCCACTGGGCTGTTCCCAGGATTCCCGTTATTCCCGTTCTCCCGTCATTCCCAGCCCCATTCCTGCCATTCCCGTTATTCCCGTTATTCCCGCCATTCCCGCCATTCCCGTTATTCCTGCTCCGTTCCCACTGGGCTGTTCCCAGGATTCCCGTTATTCCCGTTCTCCCGTCATTCCCAGCCCCATTCCTGCCATTCCCGTTATTCCCGTTATTCCCGCCATTCCCGCCATTCCCGTTATTCCTGCTCCGTTCCCACTGGGCTGTTCCCAGGATTCCCGTTATTCCCGTTCTCCCGTCATTCCCAGCCCCATTCCTGCCATTCCCGTTATTCCCGTTATTCCCGCCATTCCCGCCATTCCCGTTATTCCTGCTCCGTTCCCACTGGGCTGTTCCCAGGATTCCCGTTATTCCCGTTCTCCCGTCATTCCCAGCCCCATTCCTGCCATTCCCGTTATTCCCGTTATTCCCGCCATTCCCGCCATTCCCGTTATTCCTGCTCCGTTCCCACTGGGCTGTTCCCAGGATTCCCGTTATTCCCGTTCTCCCGTCATTCCCAGCCCCATTCCTGCCATTCCCGTTATTCCCGTTATTCCCGCCATTCCCGCCATTCCCGTTATTCCTGCTCCGTTCCCACTGGGCTGTTCCCAGGATTCCCGTTATTCCCGTTCTCCCGTCATTCCCAGCCCCATTCCTGCCATTCCCGTTATTCCCGTTATTCCCGCCATTCCCGCCATTCCCGTTATTCCTGCTCCGTTCCCACTGGGCTGTTCCCAGGATTCCCGTTATTCCCGTTCTCCCGTCATTCCCAGCCCCATTCCTGCCATTCCCGTTATTCCCGTTATTCCCGCCATTCCCGTTATTCCCACCGGGCCGTTCCCGCGCCAGCTGCCGGTCGAGCGCCAGCGCCGTTTTCTCCTCCTGGATGAAGATCCGGTCGATCATCACCATCTCCGCCGAGGGGCTGGAGCGCTGCGGGAACGGCGCCGGCTCAGCCGAATTCCGGGGGAAATCCCGGGAATTCGGGGGGGAATTTTCACGGAATTCCGGGAATTTCGGCGGGGGCTCACCCGCGATTCCTCGAGGAGCAGCAGCCGGTACTTGTTGAGCATCGCCCGCGTGCGGCGCAGGAGCTGCTCCGACACCGCCTCGAACTCCTCGTCCACTGGAAAGGAACGCGGGAATGGGGGATAAATAAATGCGGGAATGGGGAATAAATGCGGGAATGGGGGATAAATAAATGCGGGAATGGGGAATAAATAAATGCGGGAATGGGGGATAAATAAATGCGGGAATGGGGGGAATAAATGTGGGAATGCGGAATGGGAAATGTGGGAATGGGGGAATGGGAAATGTGGGAATGGGGAATGCGGGAATGGGGAATGGGAAATGCGGGGAAGGGGGAATGGGAAATGTGGGAATGGGGAATGGGAAATGTGGGAATGGGGAATGCGGGAATGGGGGATAAATAAATGCGGGAATGGGGAATAAATGCGGGAATGCGGAATGGGAAATGTGGGAATGGGGGAATGGGAAATGTGGGAATGGGGGATAAATGTGGGAATGTGGGGAATAAATGCGGGAATGCGGAATGGGAAATGCGGGAATATGGGGGATAAATAAATACGGGAATGTGGGAATGGGAAATGTGGGAATGGGGA